ATGATCTTTAGGCAACCGCTTATTCTTTTACAGTTAGTAAGCTTTTGTAGATACTTATGCTAGTTATTTATTGGACTTTATTACGTGACATTGGCTCATTTTGTTTATCTTTGTAGTATTTTCTAAGGTTCTAGTAAAGAAGCTTTGTATATTACTTTAAAATGATAACTGGAAGTTTGGTAATGCATATGTATCTAGAAATCTGTCCATTTCTTCTGTGTTTTCCATCTTATTGGCATATAGGTTCTCAAATTAGTTATTGATGATCCTCTGGATTTCTGCTGGGTCCATTGTAATTTCACCCTTTTCATTCCTAATTGCTTGGACTTGGGCCTTTTCTTTTCTTTTTTTGATAAGGTTGGCTAAGGGTTTGTCAATTTTGTTTATTCTTTAGAAGAAACAACTCTTTGCTTCATCAGTGGATTGGAAATTCATTTAGTTCTACTTCTTTCAAAAATTCCACTTACATATCAGTGTAAAAATTTAAATGATGGAACTTTGAAGAAAGGACAAAAAGGAGAAAGAGAATTAACACTGTTTTTAAATCTGGGAAGCTGATGGATGAGCGATACTTAAAAAACCAACAAGAGATGATGGGAAACTAAAGCCTATTAGGAAGTAACTTCAAAGCATGATCATTTGTGCTATAGAATCAATAGATTCTCAAAATTTTGAGGCATTGATACCTTTTAATTTGGGGTTATTTACTGGTTTGAAAACATAAAATTTGGTTGCTAGACTATGAGATGCAGTTTAGTTCCTAAATTCTTTCTCTAACCGATTTATTAATAGAGTGCCTCATGCAAACAATAGGAGACAACTAGATTAAATTAAATGAGATGAGATGGTAGAGAACAAAAGAAATATTGAACTCAGTGACACATGTCACATTTAAGAGTAGAGTATCATTTTGGGAAATTCTAGGTATTTTAAGAATCTGTACATTGAAATGCAAAACTTTACTAGATCTCTTGCCATATACAACTTCCCAAACCAGCAAGCTGGCTTATAACTTAAAGATAATAAAGAAGATTTTATTTCTGGAGAAATCATCTACCTAGCTTAGGGGCTTCCTTCAGATGGCAGCCAATCCAAACCACCCTCTAGGGAAATCAACTAGTGAACAGATTAACCAGTCATTTGTGGCACTCTCACCTGTAAATGTGAGGTTTTTTTTTAATTAAAGGAACAAAAAAACATGTATGCAACAGAAAACATGTCTGAAAAAATGTAGTTGAGTTCCACAGTGAGATTGTTGGGGTAATAACAAGAGGCTGTAAAAATAGTGGAAACATGTTAAGAACAATAAAAATACTTGTGGAAATGAAATAAATCTGCTCATCATTTCTAATCTAGAATTATGTACTGAGAATAGCTATCAAGAGTCAAAGGACAACTAAGATAATACTGGAAAAAATCAAAATCTCAAAATACTCTGTTTAGGAATTTAAGAGTACACACTTCACCAAAGAAATAAACCTAGTAAGAGAAACACACAGAATATAGGAAAGAGAGGATACAATAAAAATAAAGGATAAAGAAAGAGGCTCTGAGTCTGTGATGAAGGTCTATGGTGGCAAAGGTTCAAAAAGTCCAAGTGCAGACCACCCAAGGAGAAAGATAACAGACTCCAGAGCCCAATATTCAAGCAAAAAGAACTAAAAAAAAACTTCACTACATTTGAACACATTAATTGAAGATTTATACCTCTTGTAAAACAATTTTGGAATAAACTATAAGAGCCATATGCAAATCTAGACATAATAATCAAAATATTTTTTAAAAAGCTAATAAAGTCAAACACAACACACTTCAAACTAACACATGTATAAATACGTGATGTAGTCATTACTTTTGGACTTTTCAGATTGTGCATAATGGTGTAGGATGAATATTAGCAGTAGGGGATGCATCTGTGGATGGAAAACAATGGACTTTTGAGAGCTATCTTTCAACTTGGGTGGTCAATCATGTCACTTAGAATGAAAACTCAAAGAATATGGCATGTTTTATAGAAATATGGAAGATGGTATTAGAAAAGTAACATCTACAAGATGTGAAAGTCACTACCTCTGGGAAATGGGAATCAATAGAAATCAACTTTGTTGTAGATAATTTATTTTTTTCATAAATTCCATAACTCCTTTGGAACAATTTGACTTTTGGAATAATGCACATTTTTAATTTTTTAAAAGGAGGCTAAAAGTGTGTAGTTTTTTAAAGGGCTCTGAGGTGGGTGGAACACGAAGTGATTCCAGCTCCAACAGCCCTGGATGGAGGCAGTCAGGTAGGAGTAGAGTGAGGGGAGAGCCTGGAGACACAGAATGGGGTCAAGGCAAGGAATGTCTTGAAGTGCAGAATAATAAGGATTTAGGACTTTGAATTAACAATGATGAGATGATCGTCTAAGTTCCAAAAATAAAAAGTATATACTTACAATTTTTTTAACCAGTCAAGATAGTTATGTCATGTTAGAAAATCTCAAAAATAAATGAAAACTAGCTAATCTTTTAAGAGAGGGTCTGATATTTTTGTCTAGCCCTTAGAACACACAAGCCAAAAAAGAAAAAATGGATAATGGAAACTGTAGGGTCCTGTTCACATTCACCATTCCGTCTGGTGCAAGTTGACCAAGTGAGCCAGTTATGAAAAAATAAGACTTGGCTATCCCTCTTTTCAGTGTAGTCTCTGAGTATCTGAGAGCTGGAACTGATTTAAAAGCAACTGGTCTAATCCAATAACTGCAGATCTTTTTAGAGACAATGCCCAAACTGTGATCCAAAACCCACTTATTTATCAAAAAGTGCTAACACTGCAATTAAACCTGAATAGTGAAGTGTGAGTTTAGAAAAACCAACTCATACATTAACAGCTTTTATCTGAAAAGAAAAGCAAATAAGACATGTGCCATAGGTTCACCACCAGTGACTTTAGATATATTTAAGATCTGAGGGGGAAATATTTATTACTTTCAAAAGATAATCAGCCCTCTATTCCCCTGAATCCTACATCCACAGATTCAACCAACTGTGGATTAAAAATATTTTTTAAAAAATTGAATCTATGAAGAATATATACTGATATTCTTGGCAATATTCCCTAAGTGATACAATATAACCAATATGTACATAAGATTTATATTGTATTGGGTATTATAAATAATCTAAGATGATTTAAAGTATACTGGAGGGTAAGATTAGGTTATATGTAAATACTATGTCATTTTATATAACAAATGAGTATCCTATTTTGGTATCCATGTGAGGCCTTGAGACCAATCCTTGGTTGATACTGAGAGATAATTTTTAATTTAAGAAAGCTGAAAAACAGAAATTTAAAGTACATCATTAAATATCTATATATTATAAGTCTATGTCAATTAGCAGTCACAACATGACTTTTATATACTTTTACATGGTTATATATTAATTTTATTAGTGAGCTACTTGATAATATGATTCTTAGAGTCAGTCTTATTAAAGTGTAAAATCATTCTGATCTTGCTGTACAAAAGGATAAAAAGACTTTCAAAATCAGTAATAGTAAAAGTATTCATATATGTATATATGTACAAATATGCACACATACAATTTGTCCAGTGTGGCATGCCTAGTAAAAATCTACACTTTGAGTTTTATAATGTGTAGAAAATTTTGAGGTAGTTAAAAATTATCAAGTGTTTTTATTCTTGTCCTTATTATTTGAGTTTTTTTATTCAAATCTAGTGTAATGGACATGTCTAAGGTTCCTTTTGGTTCAAAATTCTTATCATTATTTTCTGAACCTCCTCTTGTGAAGATCAAACCCTAAGAAAATAAAAATCATTTGCTGAGTTCCTTAAGGGACACAGGGCTGGGGTGAACCAAACCCACTCTGTGGGTATTGTGTTTGATGTCCTGAGTTCCTTCCTCTTCACTGCCTCATGCACTTGCTGATGTCAGAATTCTAACTATGGATGTTTGAGTTAGCAACCTTCACAGATTTTCCACATGTTGACATATTAGGTAAAGGTATTCTTTATGGGAGCAGTTAATGCTGTTGGAAGAGGTATCAGGAAAACACAGTCCAGTTACAGCCTGATTTAATTTGGGTAGTAAACACCATGGGAACAATAGTTGATGTTGGCAGAGATCCAACATAAGGAGGTACACAGAGTCACAGGACAACCAGAGGGAAGTGAAGAAAAATAAGGCAAAACATATGAAGCAGTAAGGGGAGGAGAAGGGAGAGAGAATGCCAAGAAATCTGGGCACATAAACAAATGAGTAATGTTTTTCATTGGTTGTTCAAATGCGTGCATATGTGTTTGCACGTGTGTGTGTGAGTGTGGTCAGAAAGCAGTTTATGGAATAAAAAATTCTGCAAGTTATTCTCTTAGAGTTTCTAAGACCCTAGAAATACCCTTTCACATTATGCTGAGATGCTTATTTCAAGTTTGTTTTATAAAGGATTAATTTACATAATACATAAGCATTATACACTTAAATCACAATATTTTCACCAAGTTAATCTCATTGATTCCCCTTAGTATATGTGAATATTTGTACCTATTACACAGTTTTCTTTGCAGTCAAGGAAACAACAAACATTAAAGAAGCTAAAGAGGGTTAATTTTCTTACTCAAATTAAACACATATTTTTTTTCCTCTACTAGTAATAACCTACTTAACAAGTTAACAATTTTTAAAATTGCAAGCAAATTGCAAATTTGTTCTTTCTAATTCATTGTTTTTTTAAAAAATCCCAGGATATATTACATTCTAAACACTTCTTATAGCCAATATTATCAAAACCTTATTATTTTCTTTGCTTCAGTGCTTTTCTAGCTGTTTAGTAGTCTTAAAACCACAAATCTTATTGCAACTTTCCAGGTATTACACATCAGTGATTGTTCATACAAAGTGTTTGAGAGTTGCTATGCCCTATCTATTCAAACTTCCCCAGTTTCTCATGTACAATCTTTCCTGTGTTTCTAAATATACAAACACTTCATCTAACAGATGGCAAGTGGAAGCATCACTGGGCCCAGAAATCAATCCAAAGCTTCTAAGCATGAGATGACCCGAGGCAAGCAGCAGAAGGAAAGAGAAAGGCAAGCTCGGATGTTTTCAGAGAAAGGACTGACTGTCCTTCTCTGGAGTTTGGGAAACCATTCAAAAAATTGGGCAAATAAAATTGGCCAACGAAGAATGAATTCATTTCATACGTTGAATCATATTAATAAGGCACATTGAAAGTGGCACTGGGCTCTTGATTATCTAAACTTAGGGTATAGAATTGTATCTTTAGTGTTATTCATTTCTATTGAAATGTAGCCCAACCAACATATCATTCCATTTTTAAGACGTTCTCTGAGTTCTCACACAGAAATCTTCCGGGCTGGGCCGGTGTTTTTAATATTTCTGAAATGATGCAAACATCGTTAAAGAAAAAGTGGTAATATAATCCTAAAACATGAGCACTTCTTGATATTTTTGTCTCAGTACTTACTTTACTTAGATGACCCTCTTCTTAATATATATCCATGAAATTTTTTCTTACATTTTATCCCAATATATTTGAATGGGTTTAAGTTTTTAAATTAATGACTAAGGAAGTAGAAATTACACTGTGTTCCTTCATTAGCAAGAACCTAATTTGATCTTATGAGTGATTTTGAAATTTTAATTGTAGTTTATATTTCATATTTTAAAATAATTAGATTTCCTACATACTTTCTTCATAATATAATATTGGAGAAAAAATTTACCAAGACAAACAACATGTAAATTAAACCTCTTACATCTGACATCAATTTCTTTGTTGTAACTCCTTAATATTGTTTATTCTAAATGTGACTTGAACTCCTTTTTCCTTTTAGATTGCACCCTGTAAAAGTGCAAAGAAAATTCAATGGATAACAAATGGATTAACTTGTAGAATATTGCAAAACCACACAGTCCAATATCATGGGCAACATAACACAATGGGAATATATGGGCTCCAGGGACTCAAGGCCTTGTATGGACCACTGCTATGTCAGGAAGCAAAGGGAAAGGGAGGAAAGGGGAAGTGGAAAAAGGAAGGGAGAGAAGAAGAAAAGGAAGTAGGGAGGGAGGAAGAAAGGAAGGAAGGGAGGGGAAAAGGAAGGAGGGAGAAAAAGAAAGATAGAGAAAAGAAAAAAGTAGACAACCTAGTATTTAAAATTATATCAAGTTTAAAAAGTGCTCTGAACATAACAAAGAACTAACGTGTCTAATAAAGAGTGGAGAGAATGATTCCCCACATGGAGAACATAGGGTGGTAAAAGGCTGCCATGAGACCAGCTGTGAGAAGAGGGGATGAAGATGCGTCACCAGAGGCATATCTATGAGCAAGAGTCACCTGGACAGGAGCTTTATTAGCTCCAAAAAGCAAAAGAACAAGCAAAGCCTTGTTAGAACAAGAGATGAACAAGGGAGAGAAAATTAGTAGGTTGGGCGGCTGACAGAATGTTTACCCAGGGGGATTTTTGTATTGAAAGTAACTGAAGGATTTTAGGCAAAACAATATGCATTAGTTTTCTACTTCGGTGTAACAATGACACCAAAATATAGAGGCTCAACACAACATTTTTTGCAAGATTTCTCTAGTTCAGGAAATCTAATTGCATCTTACGGAGGGCCTCTGGTTCCGTTCTCTCACAAGACTGGATAAGGGAAGAGGTATCTCATGGCTTGACTTGCAATCCATTTCCAAGTTCACTTGTATGGTATTGGCAGGATTCAGTTCCCTGTCAACTGTTGAATCTCAGGTCCTATTTGGAGGCCATTCCTAGACCTTGCTTCATGAATCAGTCAATATGGGATTCACAGCATGGCAGCTTGCTTCATCAGAGAATGTAATGGAAAAGAGAAATAGATAGAGAGAAATAGAGAGAGATAGGGAGACAGAAAGAGGCAGAGACAGAGAAACAGAGAGAGAAGAGAACAAGGCTGAAGTCACAGTCATTTGCAACATAGACCCAGAAGTGACATACCACTACTTTTATCCTGTTCTGTTCACAAGAAGTTGATATATCCAAGCAACTTTCAGGGGAAAGCTGCACCATAGTCTGAATATTAATACATGTTGACAACACTTTTGGCTTCCTTAGAAGGCAGACAACCATAAAATATCATGATTTTATAATTTAGTGTACCTTTATACTTTAGAAGAATTACTAGGTCTTTGTGAAGAATGGCAGGGATTCAAAGTAGAACAGGCAGACTTAGGTACATCTTTCAGAATGGGATGATGAATTAGACATAAAAAATTTAAAAGAGGATTCAAAAATTTCTGGCTTACTAACTAAGTTGTCAATATCCTGCATTTGGATGGATAAGACAATATGAAGAAAATCTAGAATGAGAATTGATTAGCAATAGCTAAATCTTAGAAGCAGCCTGTATGTCCATCAACAAATGAATGGGTAAAGAATGTGTTGTTTATACAAAATGCAATAGTACTCTACTATAAACACGAATAAACAAGTCATTTGTAGGAAAATGGATGTATCTTGAGACTATATTAAGTGAAATAAATCAGACATAGACTTAAATATTGCAGGATTTCTCTTATACAAGACATCCAAATTATAAATAAAGAGAAAAATAAAAGAGATGGATCTTTTGCTAATGACAGGGAGACCAACAGACAGAAGAAGGGAAAGGGTGTTGAAGGAGATGAAAAAAGAATTAAGATGTGTTATGTGCCTGTACCAACTCTTCACAAGGAATGAATCATTGTGAACTGCAAATGTACACGAACAAAAAATAAAAATCGAAAAGAAAGAAAAATCAAAAAATATATATATATATTTATGAAATGTTTATTCAACACATTGTCCATTTCAAAATAGATTATATGATTTTTCAATCTGATTTTAAGAACGAAACACATTGTAAATATTTTTAAAATACATGTGAGTTTTCTGAAATTAAACTTTTATTCCACAGGGTCCCACAAGGAAAAATACAAACAATAAATAAAAACTATTTAAAAACTAGATTTTTAGGTTAGCGTAAGTCTTCTAATAATTTAATGAAACAAACTGTTATGAACTGTTCCATAAAATAACAATTTTTCTATCTTCAGAGGCAAGCAGCAATTAAGAAATCGTGTCAAGAGAATTCTGAATGAAATGGAACGTGTATTAATTTGGATTCACAAATCATCTATTCAATCACTATTTAATACTGTGGTGAATTACAGTAAATCTTTTATTGTATGTGAAACTTTAAATAATTTTACATTCATAAATTCTTTACAGATGAGGTGTGGTATGCTCAGTCACAGACTTTAGTTGTACATGAAACTAAAAAAATACCTTGGTGCTTTCATTTTAACCTCCTCTTACGCTGTGTCTCATGTGATAGTGAAAGACATTATGAGGGACTCAGATCATTTGCAAGACACCAAGACACGCACATCAATGTGGCCTAGAGTCACTGAGAAGACTAATAATTCTTCTGTTAACTGCTAATAGTTCTTCTACCAAACAAGTACACCTCCAACCAGCGATCCTTTCCACACCAAGTTCGCTTGTAAAATATTGCTGAGGAATGGTAAGGCCATTTCCCAGAATGTCATCTGCATAATGATCCAAAGTATCTGCACTCATGCAATCTGAGAAGGTGAGAAATTTGACAGGGGCAATGGAATGTATTAGCACCACGGCTAGACACTCAGACATCCTCATCTTCTAAAATACAAAAGAACAAGAAAAAGGTGCACGTACAGCATAGTTGTTTTCTTTCTTATTTTGTAATTACAATTCATGACTTATTTTCTGTACTAGTTTTTATTGGACTACAGTGCATGTAAGCTTCACACTGAATTATCTCTTGACCATGATCGCTTTTCATTTATTAGTTTGAGATTATAGATGCCATACTTACAATAATGAACCTTCCAACTCATGAAAATTGAATGTTACTCATTTAATGGGACTTTTTTATTTCTCTCAGCAAGTTTTATATCATAATTCTCTGAAGAGAGGTTTTCCACATCTATCATTTGAAGTATTCAATATGATTGAAAAATAGGGTGAATCTCTAGTTTTTTGATTTATTAAAGACACATTGCCATTTACCCTCTGACTTTGAGCATACTTATTCTCATTGTTCTTGCCACTTTCTGAAGCAGTTCTGAAAGTCTTCGTTCACAAATGTCTTTAGTTATACTGTTGCTGCTGCCTGGTTATCCTGAATTGATACAAAACCTTTACCTTTCATGGTTATTTTAACCTTGAAGAAGAGGCAGAAATCACATGGGGCCAGATCTAGTGAATTAAATACATGAAAATACACTATAATGTTTTTATTTGATGAAATTTCCTTAAAGGGTTGATCATTGAGTTGTGATCAGAAACTATGGTGAATACAGTATTTAAAACTTATTATAGTAAAAGATGCACTATCATTAATCTCCCTTAAATACTCAAAATTCCCCCCATGCTTCCAACATGTTTATCCCATAGTTCTTGATAATGTGTCTTTTACTTTAATAAATTTCTTTTTAAAACTTTAAACATTCGCTGTATTTTTTTATCACTCCTCTTATCCATAGGTATCTGATGCTTTTTGGTGCTGCTCTAAAGGATATTATAAACATAAGCAGCATTCTAGAAGACACATAATTAGTCAGGAAAGGTAATCACAATTTTGGCTTCCAGCTTTATTGATTACTTTTACAGCTGGGAGGGAGAGAGAATTCTATATAAATGGAATCATAAGGTATGTAAACTCTCATGCCTGACTTCTCACAATCAAATTTATAAAGCAATTCATTCATGTTATTATCATGAAAATAGTCTAGGCTCCAGTTTGGGGAGCTAAGCTTTGTTATTTTAACTTTCACATTTAGATTTTAAAACCTTTTAGAATCTTCAATTTGTCTACAATAATTTTATATATGATATGACAAAACTTTAACTCAATTTTTCTGTATCCAATATTCAATTGACCCAATATCATCTGTTAAAAATTTCATTATTCAGGCTTTTCCCATGTAGATACTTAAGTTTCCAGTGTCTTACAGTGAAAATATGAACTTTTCTTTACTACATTGATTTGTCACTTTTGTTACAAGTGTCATGATTGTTTGTATCATGTATCATTCTACATTACTTCTGCTGTTCCATTGTAC